TACGGTGAGTTCGTTGCGCTTGGGTCCTTGGGGGAGGGACTCGGCGTAGGCGTAGCGTGTTCCGGCTACGTTCTCGTAGATGTCAGCGCGGATGGTGTCCTTTTCCTTGGGTTCGGAGAGGGAGAGTTCGCGGAATTCTTCCCAGCCGATGGTCGATTCGAGCTCCGTGGGAGGCGATGATCGGATGAGGCTCTTGTGCCAGGGCTGGAGGGCCTTGTGTGTGAGATCTTCCTCGTGGGAGAGAAGGATGTTGTGCAGGGCGTCGCGCTCGATGATGACGCGAGACAGCTCGAGGAGGTTCTTGACGTCGATTTCTTCCCATGTGAGTGTCTGCTCGCCGCGATCCATCTCCGCCAATGCTTGCTCTAGTAAGGGTCGCTCTTCCAGTGTTACCATCAAGCTCCTGCCCCTGCCCAGCAGCTTCTCGTGGTACTTGAGGGTGTCACCTAGTAACCTCACAGACGGGCTCTCAATCTCCATTGCGTTGTCCACGATGATCAGCTCGCCTTTTCGGAACCGATATGACAGTGCTGTCCGCCATGCGAGGTCGTAGATCTTCTTGGGCAGCTCAGTTGCGAAGTCGCGAGGCTTGGGACCAAATGCGACACCTCCACCCCTCAGCATGGGCGACTTTTTGTCTCCCAGACGAGCGCGACCCGTTCCCTTTTGCGGTCTAACCTTCCTGCGGGAACCTCTGACTTCATACCTAGTCTTGGTGGAAGCAGTACCTAACCGTGTACTATCGCCCTCGTAAACGACCGCGCGGTGTAATATGTCTCGTCGGGTGGGTAGGTAGAGATGGTTTGCAGGGTATTGTTCGAATCGGAGCGGTTCGAGGGAGGGGAATCGATGGATGGTCGCAAGCACAGACTGCTCTTCAAGAGGTTTGACGGGAACATATCCGGGTCCGGATTTGGGAGTACTTATGGAAGCGAATGTCGCCTGAGAGGATGCAGATGTGGTGATTGAGCGGGTGGTGGGCGTGCATAGAGATTTCTTGACGACGTTAGCATGTCGCATACAGTGACGGCGAGGTAACATACGGCACAGCGCGTGCACAGCGCATTTGGCCGCACCGACAGCCTTCTCAATTGGTGTGTGGCGCCACGCATGGGCGCGGATATCCTCGTGGAAGCCATGCCGGTCGTGGTGGTGCAATTGTTCCAGTCGTCGGAGTTGGAGGCGGAGGTCTACGAAAAGCGCTAGTGTGGATCATCACCACATTTTCCAGCGGCACCATCACTCTCGAACATCGTCGAGACCATCAACACCATGGCCTCCACGCCCACCCTGCGCCAATTCAGCGCGTGTCTGAGATGCGTGCGACAACTACCAAGCGCCAATGGCACCCGCCGACTCCTCTCCACCTCGGCGGCCGTCCGTGAAGAGGTGCAGACACAACCCACGAATGCGACTCCCCCTCCACCGCCGTCGAACCCTCCGGAAGGCGCTGCTCAAAAGGCCGGCTCCCAAGATACCCCGGAATACATGCAGAAATGGGGTACGCTAGACCCCCAGATGGTGGAGAACAAGAAGCAGGAGCGCCGATTGCTGCGGAGAGAACATGTGCAGCCCGTTGGTTCCCGTCGTCGCCGTGCCGCCCTTCGTCGGTCGACCCTGCAAAAGACCGACGAGGTCCCATTCGAACAGCTGCCGTACCAATGTTTCCAGGAGGCGAGAAAGGTCTTGTTGGAAGACAGGCAGGAGAAGATTAAGGAAATCAAGGTTCAGCAGGAGCGGATAAAGAACCTAATGGCGCAAGACGCAAGCATCAGTGGAGGCCCAGCAGCCAAGGAGCACAGACTGCGGAGCATGAGGAAGCACCTGAATGACCTGATCATCCTGGCGGACATCAACGATCCAGTTGTGAAGCGGAAGTTTGAGGACGGACAGGGTAGGTTATGTCGATCTGCTTTCTGCCAACGTGACTGATTTTCGAAGGTGACATGAACAAGCCCATCTACCGCTATCTTGCCGACCGAAAGTGGCGCCAGTACAAGCGTCTCGTGCTCGAACAACGCGTTACGCAACTTGCCATCATTCCCGATCTTCTCCCATCTCTCGACTTGGTTGCAGACATCGATCTTGGCTTCGGACGAAAGCCAGTCGCGCCCGGGGACTTCGTAGACTCCGCCATCAGCGAAAAGATGCCTCGACTTAATGTTCAGACCTTCACACCTGGTGAGAAGCTCGTCACTGTAGTCGTAGTAGACGCAGATGTACCAGTCCCAGAGAAGGACAGCTTCACCTACCGATGCCACTTGATTGCCTCCAACATCTCCATCTCGCCTAACAGCACCTCGATACCACTCCAGCGCATCGCCCAAGAGGACCAAAAGACAGAGGATCTCAGTGCCAAGAAGATCGCACTGCCCTGGTTAGCACCCTGGGCCCACAAAGGAGCGCCTTACCACCGCCTAGGTATCTTTGTCTTCGAGCAGCAGGACAACCAGCCGCTCGACGTCACCAAGGTCAGCAAGGCCAAGCGCATGGGATTCAACCTCCGTAGCTTTGCCGATTCGAACAAGTTGAGCGCAATCACCGCTACGTTGTTCAGGACGAAGTGGGACGAGAGCATGGCCGGTGTCATGGAGCGTAATGGTCTGAAGGATCAGATCGCTGTAGAGTTCAAGAGGAAGAGAGTGGAGCCACTGCCCTATAAGAGGCGCACTGAGCGCATGCGGTGAGGTGGATGAGGTTGCACGTAGTGAGTGCATGTAGTCATGTAAGCCATATGTACAATACGATGACCTGGCAGCTGCAAGTTCAAGTTGTCAGCATGATATGTACAACAAGAGCACTGAATGCGACAATGAAGCGGTAGCACTGTTTACGAGCCCAGACTGTCCTCGTGGGATGTTGCGGAGTGGCTGCCTTTAATGATGGCCGCTCTTTCCAACCTCACGTACGGGGATGCTTCCTTCCTTGCCTCACACACGCGCGCTTAGAGCTCGACCCTTCTTTCTTCTGCCGGCCATGCCTTGCCTTCCTACTTTGTGGCTGTTTTTCTTGACGACCGCAGCAATCGCCGCCAACATATCCCCAATCGTCGCTTCGTCGTCTCTTACTGGCGCTTGTTTTCTTGCCCATCCCAGGTACCGCACACACGCATATCATGACGCAGAATGCACCTTCCCTTTCGACCTTTCTTCCGTCTCAACAGCAGATAGCGCTTGCCCTTGCCATCATTCGCAGTAAGCCGGCAGACATACAAATACGAGGTAATTCACAACTACCCAGATCATGCACACCTTCTAACCGTCGTTAGACTACGTCCTAGAACTACGTGCTCAGATCAGGCCCGGCCCAGACCCGAGGGAACGGGACGATTCCGAATGCTACATTGATCAGGTCGCCTACTGGAAGGAGCGATGTCAACAGGCCGAGGACGAATGCGGCAGGCTTCGGGGCGTCAATGTCAAACTCGAGCGATCCAACCACCTACTATCGAGCCTCTCCGGATCTGTCCCTGACGTTGATACAAGCATGCTGATGGCGCCGACTGCATCACCAAAGAGATCTAAGCCATCGAGACAAGCACAGAAACAGTGTCTACAACCAGCCGCTGCTGCCCAGGAGACCATCGATAATGATATGGACTTCCTGGATGTGCTCGGTAAAGACGGCTCGAATCTCACGGAAGCGTTGTATACTACACACTCGCTGTGCAGAAGTGACGAGCCGGACGCCGAAACACTGTGCCACAATCTAGTAAGAGTCGCTTCGGGTATCGGCAAAGTCATCTGCATAGTCGCTCAGAACTACGAGCAACTGTCGCGTCGAGGGCGGAGGACACTGGAAGCCATGTCGTTGGACCAAGACAAATCCGACTTTGCCATCGCTCTATCCGTCTGCGCAAGAGCTTTCATGTCATTACTTGTCGGTACCAACAAACTCATGGAGGCAAAAGCAGACGCACGCCTCGCGAGTTTGATCGTTTGCGAGGTGGCAGATATGTTCAACGCCGGATTACAATCAATCGAGGCTTCAGCGCGAAGGACAGCGCAAACTTTCTTGTCGCAACCACCCTCGCCAAAGAAAACGAAAACCAAGACGCCGCCTTCTATCATCAAAGAGTCGCCGCCGGCTAGAGCAGTCGCCCATTTGCTGATCAGTTTCCTTGGATTCCTCGAGAAGACCGATCCCGTGCATCAGAAGATCTTCGATGGCTTCGTTTTTGTTCTGTTCGAACGTGTCGGCAAGAGATTGTATTACTTCACATTTGGACAGCACCGCAGCACGTCCATCGAAGGCAACATCCTACCGCCACCTGAGCCGAGAAACGAAACAGAGGAAAAGAGACAGGATAGCGATACCCTTGGAATCCGCCTTGAAGTCAGAGCGCTCGTATTGATACTTGAACGCGCCATGGGGCTAGCTCCCAGCCACATGAACCCCCATAATGCTCGCCCAAGCCCGTCCTCAAATCGCCCGGTCCGTACATTGAGCACCAAGAGTCCCGTCACGAATACGCGGGCGCGTTTGAACCCGCTAGCAAAAGACCGCTTGCAACGAACACTCGTTGCATGCATGTATGGAAACAATACGAACGATGAGTTTCTGGATGTTCTCACGAAGCCGTTGCCAGCCATGCGGCTAAGCTCCCTACAGAATGTGGCTAAGATCGACGACAAAGATGTGGAGACGTGGTATAAAGAGGAGATTTGGCGACTTGTTGGTTGGGATGTACTGGCCAGAGAGGGCGGGTGGTGAGACTTTGGTAAGGAATGTGGGAAATACAATGGAGCTGTGTTATTGTCTACAATGCACTTCTGGGGATAACACTGAACATCCATAAATACATGAGATAAGAACAACTGAAGAAGCCATCGTAGACACATAAGCTCGTAAATATCGTCCCAGTGTCACACTCCTCCAAACTCCCAACCAAGACCCCACAACCCAGTCCAACCCACCGCTCCCCCATCCCCCTCCCGCCCCCTCGCATCAACCAGCCCAAGTATTAAATATGCCTACACAATCCACATAAGTAAAAAAAATCACACATACCTCGGCAAGTACCCACCAGCAAAATCCCCCTTTTTCCTCAGCGCCTCCCTAACCTCATTCTCCTTCCGTATCCTCTCTTCCTTCTCCCTACCCTCCTTACGTATCCTCTCTTCCTTCTCCTCCCTCTTCCTCACCTTCTCCTCTTTCTTCCTCGCTTTCTTCTCTTCCTTGGTCGCCTTCGCTTCCTCCTCCTTCATCATCTTCTGAAACCCATCATACCAACTCGCATTCCCGCTATCTTGTCTATGCAAGCTACTGTCTTTGCCCCCTAGGATACGATCAGTCTTGTCTTGCTGCCTTTTACGGCCGCGGTCCCAGGCGAGCCACATGTAGGGATCTTTTTCTGGTTCTAGGCCTGGTGGTGGGGTGAGCTGGCGCGGCTGGAGGTTCTTTCGGGGGCGGTTTGTGCGCGCGAAGTAGGCGGCGGGGGTTATTTCTCGGCCGGGGAAGATGAGGCTGGAGGTTGTGGAGAAGGCGGGGGATGGGTTACGTGGTGAGGGTTGAAGGGAAGTGGGGGAATGGTCTTGTAGGTGGATGTTCGGGGCAGATTGCGTGGGAGTGGTGCGTTGATAGGGGCTAAAGGAACTCTTTGATTGAGCGGTGGCGGATGTGATGTGGTGAGGTGGAGGTGTGCTATCCCGTGAAATAGCGTGTGCCGTAATCTGTGCGTCGTTCGGATCCTGAATACGTTGCTGCTCCCATGCGGCTGCATCTGCACTGGCCCCTTCATTCGCGTTGCGCTTTCCTTTCACCCAAGACAAGGGCCTAGCGAACCCAAATGGCAGATACTTCCCCACCGAGGGTTCTGAGTCACGGCGTGTAACGTTCTTCTTGAGCTTCCGAGTCTCCTTCGAGTCTCGTAATGGAAGCACAGCGCTTGGTGCGATGGATTGAGATTGAGAGTTCTTTTGCGACCGGGCATGAAAAACGGGCGGACACCAGTATCCGGACATGCCCATGAGACCGACTGGGGCTTCTGGAGAAGTAGAAAGTGTGGAAGAAATAGAGGATGATGAGTCTGCCTGACCTGCAGGCTGATGAGCAGCGCGTTGGTTAGAGCGACGTGGTAGAATTGCGTGCCAGTCGGGTTCGCGTTCTTCAATAAAGCGGGATGCGTTGTAAGTATAAATGCTCGTCCTGGGGCTGCCAGCAGGCCCTTCGTGAACGTCGATGACTGAGTCCTCATTGTCTTCCAGTCTCAGAGCGTGCGACAAGTAGGACTGTTTATCGGTGGCTTGGTCTACCTGTCTGGGTTCATCAGTTGCATATTTTGGTCTCTTCCTGATATCTCTATATCAGAGAATCGCTTACGTTAGGGCTCTCAGCCTCCAGCCCAGCCTCCTCATCAGCCCAACGCACCCAAGCTCTCTGATCTGTCATCCGCCACATTATGCTTGCTGCATCGTTAACTTCCTCCTTCGCGTTGATGTCGCGTAGTTCTTGTTCCGACATTTTAGTCATCTCCCTTTGCCACATTTCCTCGAGAGACAACCTGGGACTGTCCCCAACCATATCCCCATGTATCATCTGCGTCCTGCGCCGTATCGTTTTGATCGCCTTTTCGATCTCTTTTGTAGAATTGAGATAAGCCGTATCATCGTGGAAATGCACGGAGACTCCCCAGCCCCGTTCCTAAAGGTCCTTGAGTATACATATTTCAGAGGGGGTGGGGTCGTCAAGTACGTAGGTGAACAGCGGGTCGCAAGCTTCGACGGATCGCGCGGGTGGTTGGACTAAATATGGCATCTTCTACAAGCGTCGTGTGGTGGTGAGAAATTAGCAGATGTCATGAGGCTTTGTACGCTGTTGGGTGCATTCATCGTCGAGGTAACTGGCTACTGATGTCAACATTTTCCCACACTTCACGCTCAGTATTTTCACACTCCAGATATGTCATTACCAGGACGGCGGTTCTTGAATGCAACAGGTCGAAGCATGTTGCCATTGAATATGTCTATTGGGTATCATATGCTGTTTTCGTCGGCGCAACACCGTTCCACGGGACGTCGTTATCGTTGGCCGTTCCCTCGTTCTTCAGTCCCCTTATGCGATAGAGCCAGCTTCCAGACGCTCTGGAGCGAGGTTTTGAGGTACGCGATATCCTGTAACGCGCGGTTCGCAGTCTCAGGACGTGATGCGCCGATTACGGCGAAGGCGTGAAGGTTGCAGAGTCACAGAGTCGCTTTCCACATAATTCCTATCACGGAAGTGAGCATTCGTCAAACGCTTGTATGTCGGCTGTGTGCGTCGCGATGGAGTGTTTGTATTATGTATGGGGTGAGGAGTTGATGCTCAGGGAGGGCTCAAAACCATATCTTGATCAGCTCCTCTGACACGGCTGATGGAGTGAGAACACCAGACTCGGTGATGATGCCAGAGATTAAGTCGGGCGGCTATTTCAGGTTAGCGAGTGGAGTCATGATTGAGGTGAGCAGAGCGTACCGTAAAGTCGACAGCGTCATGAGCGTCGAGCGGAGCGACAGTCGACCCCTGCTTCGCAGTCATATCTGCGATAGCTTCATCAAAGACATTCCGCTGCTCTTCGTCGCTCTTAGGCTTGTGTTCCTCCTTGTGTTCCTCTGCGACTTTGAAATCGAGTACCTTCTGCTCAATGGGCAGATCGAACTGGCTTAGTGGATACAGCCTGACGAACTTGTGGCTCTCGGCGACCACGTAGAAGGGCTTTCCTTTGCTCTTAGCCAGGACGCCCAATTGGTACGTGCCCATGCGCGATATGATGCCGCCGTTCTCGACGACGCCTTCGGCTCCGACAATGACCATGTCGACCTTGCCGAGTGAGTAGGCGACGGCCGAGTCTGGAATCGTAGCGACTGGCACGTTGTGCTCTCGGAGGTCGGCGACGGTCTGGAGGCCCTCTTTCGCGTCTGACGAGCTTGACGAGGGCAGGACGTATATGACCTTGAAGCGCAGAGTGCTCGACTCGGCGGCCCTTCGTAGTAGCGCGCCCACTACTCGCGATCCACCATTTGTGAGCACCGTGCCGCCGTCGCGGATGAAGTGCTTGCCGAAGCTCGCGATCTTCTCCCTGCTCTGTTTCGCGCGGTCCACAAACAGCTTGCCGTTGGAGAGGAGGTGGTTGCGTATCGCGCGGAAGTCGTCGTCGGGGCCGAGGTTCAGGCTCGCCGGGCGGTTGAGCGTCGTGATGAGGTAGCGCTGGAAGAGATCTGTGCCGGCGGAGAGGGAAATTGGGTTCGCTATGGAGGCCTTGAGGGCGGCGGTATGGCGTTCGAGCAGGTCGAGTGTCTCTGCGACAGTCGAGACGGAGCTCTGCGCGATGGCTTCTACGAGCGCCTCGATGGCCGCGACGGGCATGGTGAGTTCCGGGTCATCTTTGAGGATACGCCGGTATGTCGCTACGATGTCGAACGTCGACTGTGTCTTGACTCCTGATTCGGTGCTCATCTTGGCGGTTGGTTGCAGCGTGTCGTTCGCGTCAACTTTTTGGCCTGCAACATTTTGGAGGGGTGCTTCGCGATTGAGTCATTCGCCAAGATTGGGGGGCTAGCTCGTCATCCCTCCCCAGGCGTTCACCCTTCGACGCGCCAGACCACTCTTGCCATAATTTTACACTGCTGCATGAGTCTTGCTGTATTAATCTTACGTTTTGCTGCGATCGACTTCAGAGACTGTCAGACGACTGCTTTTACCCACTTCAACACCATGGCAAGGATCCATCCGCAATCGCCTTCACTGCTTTCATATCACGCGGTTTGTGTAATGCTCCGTTTGCTGCGAATCTGCAATAATCGGATACCACTTACCCGTGACGATGATCGTGGCCCACTATGTTACGATACGTTGACCAAACTCACTTTCCGCTGTGACTGTACACTACCTGAAGAGCCAGACTCACTCGACGCCGACACGTAATTTCCGATCTTCGTCGTTCTCACTAATAGTACTCTCACTTTAGCAGTCAATTAATTTCACTCGTCTACGCTGACCTTCTAGCAATCAAAAAGGCCGCAAGGTATCTCACTGACAAAGCTACACCTACTAACTACAATAACCATTACTACTCCTACCGAAAGTTACGATGCCGTACATCATCTATGTGCCCGGTGTCCTGCAACCCTACATCACCAACGATCCGAGGATCTACATGGATTGTTTCAAGATCTTCGAGTGGGAGTGCGAATCACGACCCTTCTGTGATGCATTCTGCAAGGCGTTGCGGCAAGACGAGGATGAGCAATTCCTGTCCGACAGACGTCGCGGTCAACTTGAAGCCTACTGGATGGAGGAGCTCGAGCGGCGGATCAAGCCGAAGGAAGGACTTGACCCGCTGAAGGAGGGCGAACGACTGTCAACTGAAGCTGCAGTCGAACATTTGGCGGAGCATGACATAGATGAGATTGTGTTGCCCAAGATCATAGATCGAGAGGAAGGTGCACTCTGATAGTTCGTGGGTCTACATAGTAGTCACAGCCCTCATCACCGATCGCCATGTTTGGTACGTTCTCACCTTCTCGTTCTTGGGCCTTGCTAAATCAAGTAGTAAATAATCAACACCAACCCTTCTGCACTTGTAAACCAACACACTTGACGACCACATCATACTGCTTTTACATTCTTTAGTCTCAACGGAGGCGCTATCCATTTACAGTTCCCTTTTTATCACAAAACACAACAGCGTACTGTTGCGCCAATCCGAAAATGCCCTCACTTTGCGACCCATCGGAGTATCTGCCCAGTCAGCAGCTACCACCAAGGCCGTCTATCAACTTCATTCCCTTCGACCCCGTTTCCATCGATATACCCATGGAGGCCTTCTACCGCGAGTACCGGGTAGATTCGCCGGGAAGGATAGTGAAGTATCGCTATGCAACTACGCCCTCAGCCGTGGCATGCAGGATAACAGTCGTTTCGCTTTCTACCATCGTAAACTGGCGGGCGGATATCCCCGAACTAGCACCTCCGGGTGCTCTCTTCAACAAAACAGATGGTCTGTACTATCAAGACGAGGCCCTTCCGTCACAAGGCCAAACGCCACCCGACGACAAGCCAACGTTCGGGTCATTTGTTCGACGAGTAAACTCACATGCCCCTACTACCGTAAAGCATCCAGCGATGTCTCAAGACGAGGTCGTCCAGTCACAAGACCAAGCGCCACCCAACGACAAGCCAACGTTCGAGTCATGTGTTCGACGACTGAAGTTACATTTTTCCACTGCCGCACAGCATCCACCAATGTCTCATGACGAAACCCAGTCCGCCCCCGGCTACGTAGCAAACCATGTCCAACGCACTGCGGCAGGTCCTTTATCCGACGAGCAGCTCCACACGACTCCTTCAGGTAAGAAAGATGGCTACAGAGCCGCCGAAAAAGGTCCCTCAAGATATGCGCCGCAGTCGGCAGGAAGATCTCTCGACGAGGAAGTTATTGGACACAACTGGGTTAAGCCCGGGGTAGGAAAGAGGCGCGCGCATGGATCAACGACTACACCACCTGGATTACGACGTGGCAGGAGTGCAGTCGGTGGGGGGTGTCGCGAATGACTGGCCCACGAAGGAAAGTGTGTTACATGCAAATGATCTAAGGCGTGTGAGTTCATTGAAAGAAAGAAGTTGCATGGGAGATGGAGCTGGGCGAGCAAAATGTCGACGGAGTGTGTTGTGATCAACGCCTGGGTATGTCTTGCACAGATGAATTCAAATGTCTACACACTTCCATGTCATATCTGATGGTTGCCCAGCCCCTTCCTTCCATCCCCGTCTAACCCTCTCCCTCCCCATCCTCCTCCCCCCTCACCCTCTTCATCTCCTCCACCGCCCTCGTCAAATCCCTATGCTCAACCCTAACCTCCCACCTCCCATCCCCACTCCACTCCACTTTCCCCAGTTGCTCCGCAAAAGCCACACTCCTATGATGTCCACTCCCACACAGACACCCCACTCGTACGACCGCAACTTCGTCTTCCCTACTAGCTCTCACGTCCTTGATTTCCATAAGCCGTTTTATATCCTCCTCGGCACGAGCCACCGTATCACTAAACGACTCGCGCTGCATCAGCTCTTTTTGTAGGGACGAGTCGAGGCCCGTGCATGTCTTTCGTATTTGGCGGGATGGGTTCTCGGTCACACGGCAGTCGTATTCTAAGTCTGGCACAGGCGACGGTGGTGTGAAGCGGTCGTAGGAAGTTATTTCGAGGAGTGGCCGTTGTCCCTTTTGCTTTTGAGAGGGAGATGTATCTTGATTAATTTCTTTGGACGCGGATAGTTCGTCTTCGGTGGGTGGAACGAGGCGCGTGTTTTTAACTTTCGAGGCGACGTCTGCTAGTACGGCCATGTTGTCGATAATGGGTTGACTGGAGATGAGCGCGACACTCAATTCGCGGTCGAAGTCGTTGGTGGAAGATGTGTCAATAAGTCGTTTTTTCAACAGACTATTGCGTATTTCAGAACAACGGTTATAGCAGAAGATTTTATGATGCAGGCTTCGTGTCCTGTTTTGGTGACGCTCGTTTAGGTATGAGGTCGCGTGCTTCGCTGCGGATAGGCTTAGGGTCTTCTGAAAACTCCGGCTTCATTGGCGCATGCATATGACGTTGAGTGTTGTGGATCCACGGACAGACCCGCGAGTGCCGTGCAAGGTGCGTCATCGCCAGACACAATCGCATCGGACGTCGCGATAATTCGCTAACGCTTATACCGGCCTCGTTTGTCTGTTGATCTATCTTCAGCCTCGCCAAGTGATTGCTGCTGCGTCTAGCTGAGCGTTTGGGAGGCGAATTGGACGCTTACTGCACATAGTAAGCAATCGCCTCATCGACCACATCGTCATTCTACATTAAAAAGGGTATTGTAACATAAGATTATCACGGCATTGGCTATCACCCATCATCCTCCAACAAACCTCATCCTTTCGCTAACCAAGCATGCCTCGGAAGCACCACCGCAGTCAACCCCTCACCCTCACTCTCTCTACCTGTCATCACCTCCGCATCAGCACCGTCAGCACCACCTTCTCTCATCTCTCCCCCGACATCCTTCACATACCCCTCCTCCTCCTCCCCCTCATCATCCCCAATAACCTCAAACTCATCCGAAAAAGGATCCCTCCCCTCCATCCCCCTCCCCTTCATCTGCTCCTCAACCCACTCCCTCATCCTCTTCTCCTCTCTCCCCGCCTCCTTCTCTCTCAACCTGCGTTCGTCAATACCAATCCACTCCTCCTTACCAAAGAATTCCCAATGCGCTTTCTTCACACCCCTTACCACACTTCCCAGTCCCAGCCCCTTCTTCCCATCCGCCGCCGCCGCCTCGGCTTTCTTCCTCTCATCTTCCCCTGCGATCCGAATTCCATGTTCTCTCTGCCAGATGATCCAGATATCGTCGTCCCAGGTGTTCTTTCTGGCAAGTTTTTCGTATTTTGTGAACCACTTTTCCATTCTAGGGAGAGAGCGTTGGGTATTGTAGAGGCGCCAGCCCCATGCCGCACAGTCTTTTGCGATGGCGGCGTTGCGGGCAGTGAGGGTTTCTGAGGAGGCGGGGGTCAAGATGATGTATTGGGCTGTTGTGGTGGGGTGGCGGTTGTAGAGGAGGACGTAGGAGCTGGTTCGGTAGTAGGGGGGGATTTTGAGGATGAGGGGCATGGTTGGTGTTGTGAGGGGGGTTTGGTGGTGGGTGGTTTGTTGTGGTGGGGGAGTATAGATAGAGGGGAGTTAGATAGGAGTTGAGGTTTAGAGTGCTGCGGTGGACAACGAGAGGTAGAAGGGAATGTCTCCCTTCACCGATTGAATGCCCAAATCGTGAGAGCCCTCTCCCTCGTTACGCACTCGGAGCATTCACGCACATGTGCGTGACCTTTTGCGTCTTTCCAATACGAGCAGGCACACATCAACTACACGAGTGAAAATACACTGTGCGTCGAAGTCACCAACCCGGAACGTGAACTTACAACAGAGACTTTATGGAATCTCTAACCCATACTCGCATTTGTCCACCCACTTGCACAAGTTCCACTCTTCAACGGCCCCATACATCCAATCAAAATGAATGACCGCCATTCACACAACATACAATACCTCATCCACCCACCCCGGAGAACCGTCGTCTTAACCACAGGCGACCCTTTGATAGCAGACGTCCTAAGGAAGCGTCACAATTGGCTTGGCCGCGTCATAGAAGGTAGCACGCTTCCAGCGTGTATTAGCACTTCATGTATACGGGAGCTTGATGATGGTAACGTGCTGATCGACCATGAGGTTGCAAATGGTGATCTCCTTGCAGCAGATATACGGTCTCTGCTTATACGAAAAGGGTTTGTGGACCCGGATTTATGCTTTGTTGGGCGTATGATACGGTCTGTACATAAGAGAGAGGTTGTGCCTCCGAAATGTACAGACAAAGCAGTTAGTAACGAAGAGGAGGTTGACATTTGGAGCGATGATGGGTTGGATGAGGCTAAGGGGGAGGTAGATGCTCGGGAAGAGAAAGATTATCAGTGGAAAGATGGTTTGGACGAGCCTATCGTAGCGGAATATTGATGTAGAGGAATGTATTGTATATGTTAGGCCTTCAAATGAAACGAGTGCCGGGAGGAGACATGGATCTGGGTATCGCTGAAACAAAGGAACAGAAGATGATGTAGTTGGCAGGCCTATATGGACCAGCCAGCTTTCTTCTTAGCGGCCTTGGTGGTCATGGTGGGTTCCGAGGGTGGCGGTGGCTTGATATCCTTGAGATCTGGTAACGGGTCGTTATCCCTTATCTCGAGTATAGTCATCTGTGCAGCTAGTGTCGACTGCCCGTCTGCAATTGTATCGCTAGGAGCCGACATATCGTCGCCTACCGGACCACCTGCAAGGGAAACACCGCCGTCTTCTTCATCCTCAACTTCTTCATCGTCGCCTGCCTCGTCACCATCATCGTCGTCGTCCACCTCTTCTCCGTCTGCTCCAGTGGCGACATCAGCGTCCCCATCGATACCATGCTCTTTCATGTACAATTCTAGTTCCTTGGCCATCTTTTTGCTGAAGCCGGAAGCTTGAACCTCAACATCTAACCGCTTGACGAGCTTCTTTGTGGCGTCCTTGAAGAAAGGACCCGGCTCGTCGCTAGTGAAGCCAAATCGGCGATCGAAGAAGCGCTTTATGCAAGCCACATCGCGATCAAAGTAGTATTCGGCATTGGCATGGTCAATGGAGACCATTTGTGGGAAATCGATGAGAGTTGGCACCAATGACAAACTGCCGTCTTTCTCTGTTCTCTCTTCAACTAGGATGTTGAACTCGTTGAAGTCACCATGGATGAGACCGTGCTGCGCGAGGCGAACGATAATGGCGAGTAGCTCACCGTAGAGCTCTTGGGGGTTGCCGACCTTGGAAATCTGGCGCATAGGGAAGGCATCGATGAGGCTCATGACGACGGTATGTCTGTTCTGACCAATCGGCTCGGGTACCGGGAATCCCTCTGCTCGTAGGGCCTTCATGAACTCGAACTCTTTCAGAGCAGCGAGGCGCGACATGTACATCCATGAACCACCCTGGCGATTGCGCAGATAGTCGCGGTTCGCCTTGACGGTACGGAAAGAGATACGGCCCAGACGGTGGATCTTGAGAACCAGTTGCCTGCCTGTCTCATCTGCGCAGACTATGATATCCGACTCTTTGCCTATGCCGATCTGGTTGCCGACCGAGTAGACGGTCGAGGCCTTTTGGTGTGTGTGGAGGGCGAGGTAGTCGAGGCCGCCATAGGTAAGTCGGTAGCCGTCGTACTTTGCGTTGCGGACTTTGGCGATGAGGCCGATCTTGGCGAGGTTGGAGATGCAGCGATGGACGCCGTCGCCTGAGCGGATGGCGGCGATCTGAGCAATCAGGGGGGTTGGCACGATTTCATGGTTGCGGCTGCCCATCTCTGTCTATCATCTTCATCAGCGTTAGTCCCCCACTACGTTCGGAAAGCCGGCGGGCGGGCGCATACCGCAGTGAGAACACGCCAATCATCGGCGGAGAGGTACCGAATATTCTTGACGTTCAGCTTCATGGTAGTTGTCTGGCTGCCCTATCGGCGTCGTGTGGTGGTGATTTTGGAGGTTGTATGCGGCAACAATAATTTTTGGCGGGAGGTTCTGAGCGGCGGGCGGCGCTCATCATCGGCGGACGGGCTTGGCCCTAGCGCGGCGGAAGTGGTACGCGAAGCAAGAGCTGCCTCATCGACATCAACCTATTACCACTCCCCACTTGACTTGCCTCTCGCTCTCCCGACCCATTTGAGCGCCGCATCTACATCTCTCAGCACCCCGAATCTACTTCCACCGTCGCTATCGACGCCGCTTCGTCCCGATACATAGACACACTTCGCCGCTTGCCCTAGCTACACATCATCAACATGGCGAAGGACGACGAGAAGAAGCCCACGGCCGCCGACAAGGGCAAGGGCAAGGCGCCCGTGAGCAATGATGCGGACAAGAGCAAGGTCGCAAAGCCAGATCTTGAGGACAAGAAGGGCGGTGTTGCGACAACTGGCGGTATGTCTGGTCCCCGGCACAGCGCCCATGGCTATCGTCATGGACTCACACTGATGACAAACCACAGAGGAGCTCAGCGAGGAAGACCAACAGCTGAAGAGCGACCTTGACATGCTGGCTGAGCGGATACTGGTAAGCTGCTGCGACGATGGCTGTCCCCGCAACATGCGCTGACCTCATGTCTTTACTAGGGTTCCGACACCAGCCTCTACAAGCCCGCCCTCGAACAGATCAAGGAATTCATCAAGACATCGACGAGCTCCATGACGGCCGTGCCCAAGCCGCTCAAGTTCCTCCGACCACACTACGAGAACCTCGAGAAGGCCTACGCATCATGGCCAGCAGGCGAGAACAAGGTGCGCAGACACGTCCACACTCCATATACGCCACCATGCTAACAAACACAGCGCTCGCTCGCCGACATGATGTCTGTTTTGGGGATGACGTATTCCGATGAGGACCGCCTAGACTGCCTCAAATACCGCCTCGAGGCCCCCTCCACAGATCTCGGCTCATGGGGCCATGAGTACATGCGCCACCTTGCGCTTGAGATTGGCACAGAATACCAGAACCGCCTGAACGACGACAAATCCACCGACGACGTCACCGACCTCGCCTCGAATCTCGTCCCCTTCTTCCTCAAGCACAACGCCGAGGCTGATGCCGTTGACATCCTGTCTGAGCTGGAGATGATTGATCAGATTGAGCAGTACATCGACGAGAACACATACTCGCGGGTGGCTCTATACATGGTCAGGTAGGTTATGCCCGTACTTTGCCTGCAGCACCGACACTAACGCCAGCAGCAACGTGCCCCTCCTCACCTACCCAGACAACGACAAGTTCCTGCGTACCACGTACCGAATCTACGCCAAATACAAGCAGTACACACAGGCAATCGTCATCGCGATACGATTACACGAGACCGATCTCATCATTGAAGCTTTCAACGCTACCAAGGACAAGTCGATCCGGAGACAAATGGCCTACCTATGTGGCCGACAACGGATATGGCTCGACGTCTCCGAAGACGACGATGCGGAGCTCCAGGAGTGCATCAACAACACGCGACTACCCGACCACTTCAAGGCGCTGGGCAAGGAGCTTAACATTCTCGACCCCAAGACCCCTGACGACATCTACAAGACACATCTGGAGAGCAGCAGGACGGCCGGCCTCACCAATACCGATTCCGCCAGACACAACCTTGCTTCCGCCTTCGTCAACGCCTTTGTCAATGCCGGTTACGCCAATGATAAGCTCATGCTTAACGAGAACACAAAGCAAAGCTGGGTGTGGAAGACCAAGGAGGAGGGCATGCTGTCAACAACCGCGTCTCTGGGTATGCTCATGCTCTGGGACGTGGAAGAGGGTCTCGATAAGGTCGACCCCTTCACACACGTCGAAGACGACATGGTCAAGGCCGGCGCCATGCTTGCTACCGGTATCTTCAATTCCGGCGTGCGCATGGACTCAGACCCTGCCATGGCTCTCTTGGGTGATGAGGACAACATCAACTCCAAGAACCAGAACATCCGTTTGGCTTCTATCATGGGTCTCGGTCTTGCTTACGCGGGGTCTAATAAGGAAGACCTTTTGGACGTTCTGCTGCCGATTGTCAGCGACACCAGCCTCGACATGCAGCTCTCTGCCATGGCGGCGCTGTCGCTTGGCATGATCTTTGTTGGTTCGGCCAACGGAGATGTCACTGATGCCCTGATGAACACGCTCTTGGACGAGGACCGGACGAAGCAGCTCAAGGACAAGTGGACCCGATTCATGGCTCTTGGTCTTGCGCTACTCTTCTTCGGCCAGCAAGAAGAGGTCGATGTCATTCTGGAGACCTTGAAGGCGCTTGATCACCCCATGGCCAAGTCTGCCTCTGTGCTCACAGAGGTGTGCGCATGGGCTGGTACCGGTGCTGTCTTGAAGATCCAGCAATTGCTCCACATCTGCAATGAGCACATCGAGGATGAGAATGAGGAGAAGAAGGGCGATGAGCTACTCCAGTCTTACGCTGTTATCGGTCTATCATTAGTCGCCATGGGCGAGGACGTTGGTCAAGAGATGATCCTGCGCACTCTCGGCCACCTGATGCACTACGGCGAGGCTAACATCCGCAAGGCTGTGCCGCTCGCTCTAGGTCTCATCAGCCCTAGCAACCCTCAGATGAAGGTCTACGACACTCTTTCTCGTTACTCTCACGACAACGACAACGACGTCGCCATCAACGCCATCTTCGCCATGGGCCTTTGCGGTGCTGGTACCAACAACGCCCGTCTTGCACAACTCCTCCGGCAATTGGCTAGCTACTACCACCGTGACCCCAACGCTCTTTTCATGGTCCGCATAGCCCAAGGTCTGCTGCACGCAGGCAAGGGCACGCTGTCCTTCAACCCATTCCACACCGACCGCCAGGTCTTGTCTCGTGTCGCAGCGTCTGGTCTCCTCACCGTCCTCGTTTCTCTCATCGACGCCAAGTCATTCGTCGCTGGAGACTCACACTACCTACTCTACTACCTTGCTACTGCCATATCGCCGCGCTTCCTCATCACCCTCGACGAGGATCTGAAGCCGCTGACAGTCAACGTCCGTGTTGGTCAAGCAGTGGACATTGTCGGTCAAGCAGGTCGCCCAAAGACCATTACTGGTTGGCAAACACAGAGCACGCCGGTGCTGCTGGCGCACGGCGAGCGAGCGGAGCTCGAAGACGAGAAGTATCTCAGCCTGACCAATGTGTTGGAGGGCGTGGTCATCTTGCGAAAGGTATGATATCCCAATGTAACAAAACTCCAATCGTCCCGTACTAACACCTACAAACAGAACCCAGAATGGGAGGACTGAACGCATTGCAACAAAAGGTGGAAAGAAAGAAGCGTTCGACAGCGACGACACCCCGCAGAGCCATAGATAGGGAGAAGGGGGCCTGCAACACCAAGTGATTTTGGCATTCTAATAGCATTACGGTCACTGCCTCGACTCTTGTTCCTGTTCACAATGTCGGAACAAGGATGTCTCCAGGGGAAACACCGTTGTATATATAGATGTGCAAGAGCGATGAAGTGAAATGATAATCATTCATACAATGTTGAGGTCTTGCTATCATGGATGATACGTATAAGGTAGTGGTGGAGGAGGAATGCACGTACTGTCTAGTCTACGACCCTTGACTGGGGTTGGAGTCGGACGTATGACGCTGAGCGCGCTTCAACGGTGCGTTGTAGTGACTTTCTAGCTGCGAAACGCAGCATTCGTTGCGCATAGCCCATCTATTAACACATTCATGTCCATTATCATCACTGCGTGGCCACGAGCACTATTATTACTATTTCCGTGTTCACGCTGCGCCAACCCACATCCCATAATTCTCTCTCATACTTACCTTCCCTACCTGATCTGTACAGCCGCGAGCCTAAAAAGAATATCAATTTTTTACAAGCACCGTGCGGATCGAACACACGTCTTCCGCAATCAAGGTGGGTAGCCTGCTGCAGACACAGCGCCCAGATGAAGCCGTAGGGAATCTTCCACAAAGCAGTACGGTCAAGTACTAGGAAGCCTGGCAAGATCTTGTTGGGGACGTCTTACCACTGGACTAGGTGCTCTGTCGCGGCCTTCGTTGACCGGATTGATAGGCAAGAATTGCACAAACAGCAGAGGAGTAAATACAAACATCAAGTTGAGCCGGAAGAAGATCTATTATACGACGAACTATCGAAACTACGACAAATCCGACCATAGACCTAGCCACCACTGCTGAAACCTGCCTTTGCCATCGATGAGAAAGAGATACATTGAATAACCCACTAAGATCCTTTTTGGTTCGCTGGCTTGCCCAGATGCTAACAGATACTTCTAAAATGTGAAAGAAGCCGCCCAAGTATATCGATCGAAAGGAAAACGCGAGACTGGAGTGTCGATGGGAAGGATATGTTCAGGGTGTTGGCGCCAAGAACAAAGTATTAGGCCCAACGACGTGAGCATGAAGGTCAGAACGAGCGGCAGGAAGGAACGACAAGAGTATCGTGCTGTAGCGTGTTGATATAGTGCGGCCTTCGTAAGGTATATGATCGGTGCCAAAAGAAGTCTCCAAGAAGATGAGGCTGGAGGATGTTGAAGAAGCGATCATGAAGAATAGTGCGTGCACGACGGGTATATCGAAGGTCGACGTGGGGAAGGCGATACACGCTTAGTCGTTGCGGCTGGGTGAAGTAGACTTGTCATCAGCTTTGACGGGAGTGGCGGGGTTGGTCTTGACGTCGAGGCCGTTGTCAGAAACGCCGTCCTCGCTCTTGATGGGTCCACCCTGCGGCATATAGTATGAGCGGGCAGGGCCGAGAGTGGATGGCACTGGCGGTGACCATGGCTGGCGCTGGCCTCGCATGAACATCTCGAACTCGTTGGCGTGGCCTGCAGGTATCGGGGAGACGGAGAGGTATCGGTCAGGCGTGCCTAGCGCCCTAGCCTGAGCAACACCGACCTCGTACTCCGCAGCACGGAAGACACGGCCAGCTGCGGTCTGCTGCTTGAGCATCTTCTGCTCGTGAGTATCGGAAAAGCGGATTTGGATGAGATGCTCCTCGCCGCCGGGCTTGGATACGGGGGTGTTGTTGAACTCCTTGATGACCTCGTCGCAGATGTCGCGGGATTCGAAGCTAGAGATGGTCAGCAATGATCAAACTGGCAACACCACAATAACCTACCGAGCGAAGCCGACACCCCGACCAGTACCAGAAGAGTCACGAAGGATCCTGCTCGAGCAGACCTTGTGAGGTGCGAAGATGGAGGCGAGTTCCTGCATGCTGTAAGTGGCTTGTCATCAAAGCTGAGGCGAAGCAACATACATGCTCGTTCATGTTCTTTGGAATGTTGGACACGTAAAGATTGGTGTTGCACTCGTCGGCGAACTTCTTGAGCTTGGAGTAGAAGGACTCCTAGGAAGAGTCAGTAGAGGCCATCGTGAGTCAGAGTGGCTGCAACGTACCCGAGCAAAGCTGACCTCATATCCAAGGTAGTGAAAGCCACGGATGCAGTCTTCAGCGTCTTCGAAGTTGTGGTACTTGATGAAACCGAAACTGCGACGCATGATTAGTAAATGAAGCGTTGTGATAGGTAGTGAAGCGCTTACCCCTTGCACAGGTTGGTCTTCAGGTCGATGATGGACTTTGAGCTCTGGATATCTCCAAAGCGCTTGCCCCACAGGTGAAGCATCTCATCGGTGGTCTCGGGCAGCAGGCCTCTAATGTAAACGTTGGTCTCGCCAGTCTTGTTCTCCAGGCTACGGTCGAGTGGCTTGTGCGGGGAGCTAGGAGCGGGAATAGCCCGAGGAATGGGGGGCTCCTGGTGCACTAACGCCAGTAGATTGGGAGGCAACGTGGGCATGGTCTGCTGCTTCGGGATGGGCGCCATGACCTGGTAGGGATGGGCCAACTGGGAAGGCGAAGGGGTAGCACTGCTGGAGTAGAGGGCGTTTGGCGAACGGTCCATGATGGCAGTGTTGTTGGCGTAGCGATGGTACATACCACCACTGCCGTAAGGCGTGCCTGGGTTGTCGTTCTCGTTGGACGAGATGGAGTCCCGGCGTGGCGTCATCAGAGAAGGCATCTCGGAAGAGGACATGCGAGCAGCCCATGCTGGTGGCATAGCGTTGTTGTCGATGACAGCTTGGCCGTATTGGTAAGCTGCCTGCTGGACGTATGCACCGGTGTGGTTGTACATGTTAGGGGAAGCCGCCATGGCAGTCTGTTGCTGGGCACCAGGCATCATCTGGTACATCGATCCAAGGACTTGCTGGTTGGGAACCCAAAGACCTTGACCGTTGGAGAGAGGGATGTTGCCGTAGTCGGATGAGCCACCTGACAGAGCGGAGCTAGCAGACTTGGAGGTAGCGGACGAACCATACGAGGCGTGCATGTTGAGAGCTGCCATATTGCCCGTCAGACCTTGCATACCATTATCACCGTGGGGGGACATGGGCAGACCTCGGGGGAGGTATTGGGCGGACCCATGACCTTGGCCGTGCTGGTTGTAGTTGTTGAGCATGTGCTGTCCCTTGTAGCCCGCGTTGGGGGCCGCGTAGTTTTGCTGACGACCGTTGGTAGCCATTGCAGTGAACTTCGAAGTGACACTGATCGAAAGACGAGTGAAAAGATCGGCAAGGTATCCGGGACCGAAGCTTGCGAGCAAGAGTACGCAGACCGAAAGTTACGAGCCTGAGGAGAGTTGCGGCGAAGGGTCTCAACAACGGACGCGACAGACTGAGATGCAGGAAAGAACGTTGCTCTGCCCAGAAGATTAGTTTTTGTCATTAGAGGAGGCTGGGGACGGCCTAGCAAATTTGCTCGGTGATCGATGAGTGTGAGGAAAGTAGACCATGCAAGCGAATGCGGGGGAGGAGCTCATTGGCGGTATCTGGGCGGAGAGTGGGGAGGAAAAGATGGGATGATGAAAGAGACTTACTGGGTCGTGGATATCAAACTTTCGCAATGTGCGGGACTGGTAGTGACTCCAAAGCTGCCGAGGCGTCAGTATCGATGTGCTGCACAAGAGCGATGGACGGTGTCAGGACGGATGACTGACCTGGGAAAAGCTACAAAGAATGTGGCCACTGATGCGTATTGGTGAGAAAAGTGAAGAAGAGTGAAGAAGAGAAGAGGTGGAATGGTGGAATGAGGCAAGCTGTTGTACCCGAAGATGGCGTCTGGGCGTAGCAGCTTGGGGAAAGAGCACTCGCGATGGGACGTCGGTGGAAACCCACAAGCGACGTGAGAAAGGCAGCCTCAATCTGACAGAGGGAAGTCGCGAAGAAGTGCCATGACGGCGAACAGGGTGGCTCACCTTCCCAATGACTCAGTTTTAAGGAGGAACAGACGCGCTACAACACAGCGTCACCCAAACTCTTGCACCTTGGATACCGTCGCTTCTGTATCTGGAAATTGCCTAGTGATATGATGGAAAAGCTGTTGAGATAGTGATGTCAGATCAGGCTTGCGGGCGAAGCTACGAGGCTTTGGGTTGTCCCCGTCGCCGTGATGGGAAGAGCACTGCACTTATACATAGATCGCAAGCAAGGACGCACATGCTGAGTGGATGCACCGAGAGTACGGTATGGCGAACGCTGCAAGCAGGACATCCTGCATCGGTGGTGTACTCGTCGCGCCTCCTCAAGATGCAGCCATACCTTTCTTGGAGCAGCGTGTGTAGCATACAAATGACGAGGCGTTTGTGTGGAGTCTAGCTGCCACTTGCTGCAGCCAACTTCGCGCCGTGACAACGGCCAATGCAGTAAGGTTATATCGCCCTTGCAGCAAGGCTGAGCAGTCTCTTGGAATGACGTCGAACGACAAACGTCATTGTCTGTTGCTATGTGAACGTTTCAACCGGGGCAGTCGCGATGATTCTGGCGCGCATGCTTCTGTCATGGGGACTCGACCCGTCGTTTCCTCACTTCCACCCATCAATTGGGTACACGCAACGACCCAACTCGAGACATGCGCAGCTCTTGATTGAATACTGTCTGGTCTGCTTTGCGATTAGTAGGGCTACACAGACAGGGGGATACTCTTACAGCGCTTTGCAGCCAGACTTCCGCCATGCCATAAAAGACCTTTCGTAACCTGACGGAGCGGCGCGCTGTTGCACACCTGTAACCTGCGCGACGAGCCGGCGCAGTGCAGCCATTGCCGGTTGTAACTCTGTAGATCACGGTTTTGAGATGGATGCGCGAAGCTCGACGCAATACCGTTGGGAGTGCGCCCTCATGCGAGATATCTTTGGTGACTCAACTGGTGGAGCTGCACCTTCTTTGGCGAGATCACCGGGGTAAACGATATTTGCCCATCTGCAGCGGTAATGCAGACGCAAGGGGCAAGTCGGAAGCCTGTGGCCTGACCAGCCTTTCCGAGTAATATCAGCAACGTCACTTTCATACAAGCAAAAGCGCGTTAGGAGCAATTCGTTTGCGAGGCGTCTCTCTAAAGACACTCAAATCCAAAAGTGAGGTACACATTGAAACTGAGCCAGCCGGTGATTCCAAAGTAGTGAGAGAGACGATCCCAGCCGGCATCGTGTTTGGACTCCACTCCCCAGGTGCTATGCAGGACTAAATGGCGTGTGGGTGATACAAACTTCACGAATGGAGGGTTTCCCGCTTCCTCGCGTGGTGCGTAGGCGCAAGCGCACTGATTACCGTGTCGCATTTGTTGCGAAGCAGCTATCCGATCGGCTGTCCGGCTCTTGATGCGGCTGTTGTTGGTCTCGTGGCAGTGCCGACACGGTGAGAGAACATCTGCCAGTGCCTAGAATTACCAGGTGGGTGATGCGTCCAGGGTCCATGTTTGGTGGCGTCCTGCAACGCGATGGCTGGCCGATCCCGCTCAGCATGCCTGCCTGTAAGGTCATTTCAGGAGTCGTGCATGTCGTACGCCGGGCAAATATGCACCTCTCTCCTCCAGGGCTGCACTTCTCGCCAAACCCGTCACTCTGTACTGAGCGGCCTGAGAGATGCTTCGTTGCGACTCTTCCAACGTTACCCAGCTCAACCTCGGACCTGGATTCCGGATCCTCTCGCTACCGTCATCGCAGAGAGGAAGAAACGGGGCGGATCGGCTGTCGCTACAAGCATCCGCGGGGTGACACAAAGAGCAGATGAGGAAGAACGCGGCTTCGTATAAGACTCCCCAGGATCTACTGCGTCTCGCGACACTGCGTTTTCCTCAAGGGTTCGAGCGGATGCCCCGCATGCTGAGGTTGTAGCGGTGAGTGACTGGCTGTGGTCATCCTGCCATGGAGGTTTTCAGCATGCGACGCGCGACCAGGTAAATCCAGAAGTTGATACTTAGCCGGAACTGCTGTGCAAACCTTTATCGTACGCATGCCGGCAGTGTCTATTATAATGAGACGTGCCTGCACCTCTGAGCAATGAAGGCTTGCCACGCAGTGCTCCGAGTAGGCGTCCTAGACATTGGGGGCCGCAACTCGAGCTTGTGATAGTGAAGATTCTTCGTCGATTATCGCGGCGCAGTTGATGGGTGGGAACGGCAGATGGCGAAACTATTTTGAAGCAGTCCGTATGCATGCGCGGCGTTGATGCTTATAGACGAGGTTTATGGGAGCCATCCCCGCGGCAGGCACCGCGGGCTCACGTGCATCGACCAATCATGGCCGGACCCTGCCCGTGTGCACTAGCGCACGTTTTGCCTACCACAGCAGCGCACCACAGCATTAGGCTGCGGTCGCTCAACATCTTTCTGCTACATGTCACAATCAGCTGAGTGGGAGGTGAAGCATAATAGTTTGATATTTATGATTGATCAAATGAGCTGGTCCACACCGCAGGCTATGTAAAATGGTGAGTGGTTACATAACTGTACATGTCCATCCAGGCTTCAGATTCGGAGCCAATATACTCCAATGCGAAAGGTTTTCGTCAGATCAAACGCCATCGCTCACACCATCCTACCGTGTAAATGCATGCTCAAAAAGCTCGTTCTAAAATAATGTCCCCAATCCTTGACGCATCATGACCAGACGTCTTCTTGATACTGATTCGACGCCCTCATGGCCTTGACGATCTCCTCGCCCTTTGTCTCCGGCACGTTCCTGTACTTGGAGATGATTTTTCCGAGAAGCGTGTTTACCTCGCGGGCCATATGCGCGGCGTCACCGCAGACGTAGAAATAGGCCTTTTGCTCGAGCAGCTTGTTCACTTCTTCGCCGGCTTCCTCGAGTTTGTTCTGTACATAGACCTTCTTAGGACCGTCTCGCGAGAAAGCAGTGTGCATCTCGAACTTGTCGCCCATGTCTGCTTGGTATTGCTGCAAATTGTGTTAGTCTGGAATGAGTGATTGATGCGGCATCTTGAGACTTACCTTCCACTCGTCGGCATACATGAAGTCCTCTTCTTGCTTTCGGCATCCGAAAAATAGAATCGTCTTTCCGACATTCTGACCAGACTTTGCCTGTGCAGCTCTTTCTTGAACGAAACCACGGAAGGGTGCGACACCAGTACCAGGTCCGACCATGATGATAGGCTTGGAAGGATCTGAAGGAAGCTTAAAGTTGGAGTGGCGGACGTGGACGGGGACGTGAATACCATCGTACTTGTTGCGAGGACCGGTGATAGTGTAGTTCAGGCCGTGAGGATCCGGGTTGAGGTCACCGTGTTGCTTCTGCTTCAAGGCCAAGAGGTAGTTGGTAGTGACGCCCTTCAAAGCGTATGGTGCGCCGGGCTTCTCGATAGACTCGACAATAGCAGTGATGGAGATTTTGTCTTTCTGGACTAGAGACGACGAGGAGATGGAGTAGTAACGAGGTTGGATCTTGACCATGGTTTCGAACAGGAACGAGAATGGGATCTTGTCCCATGTCGCGCCCTTTCCGGTGATCTCGAGAAGCTGGCCCAGGTTGAGGTGGCGGTCGGTGACTTGCTCCCTGAAGTAGTCCTTGTCGCTACCGAGTTTCGCGATCTCAGCCTTGATATCGTCGTTTGGCGCAAACTGTGCAATGACAGAGACAAGTTGACGCGACACGGCGGCGTTGATCTCAATGTGGAAGCGGACGGCGGCATCGTACGTAGTTGGCGACGGAAATGGAACTTTGGCGGTGGGGTCGAGACCTCTGACTGAAATAACCGTGTGGCGCTTGTCTTCCTTGCCGAGAACCTTGAACAGCCTGTCGACTTCTCTGCCAGCGTTGTTGGGCCAGATGGCGATGTGATCACCGGTAGTGTATGACAGATTGGATCCAGCGATGCTGATTTCCATGTGTAGGCAGTTTCGGTTGGGGGAGTTGAAGAGTTCGGCGGATTCGACGATCGGGGCGATGAAGGGGTTGTTGGCGTTGAAGGGACCCTTTTGGTTGCCCTCAAGGTGGTTCTTGTTGGGCTCGCCGAGGTAAACAGTGTCGTCTTCGGGGGATAGCTCTGGCTTCTCGTTGACTTCGAAAACGGGCTCGTACATGGCTTCGCGCTCCTCCAGGCCCATCTTCTCAGCGACAGCAGCCCACATGGGCTCCTTCCAGGCGAGGAAGTCCTCTTCCATGGTGCCAGCGCCATCGTCGCCCTCGCCAGCAGCACCCAGTCTGGTGGCACCGAGCCTCGTCAAGTACTTGTCGACGTTGCGGACCATGGAGTTGTAGTGTTCATATGTGTTGTTTCCGAGACCGAATGCGACGTAGTTGAGCTTGTTGAGGGGCTTGTCGTCGATGCTGCCGCCCTCGGAGAAGCTGACATCTTCAGAGCCGATAAACTCGTAGAACTCGACGGCGTTGTCGGTGGGCTCGCCCTCGCCATAGGTGGCCAGCACGAACACAGCGAGCTTGTCTTCGGGGAAGGTGTCTAGGTTTTCGAAATCGTACTCCTCCAGATCTGCCACCATGGTCTTGAGGCCGAATCGCGAATGGCCCTCCTTGGATATGCGGGAGGCATAGTCCTCTGCCGTGCCCGTCTGGCTACCGTAGAAGACGACGCAGTTCTTGTCCGTCTCGTCCATCTTCTCTATTATGTTGCGCGACTTGCCCGCCTTTGCAGCGCCATTGGCCGTGGCCATGGAGCTGCCGTAGGGGTCTCCATAGACGCCCCAGTAGGTGCCCTTGGTGAAGTAGGCTACGGTGCCGACCAGGAGTGCGGCCAGCACGATAAGGTCCAAGGTGTCGAGTTGTGCCATGGTGCTGGGAGGGGCGTTAGCAGAGTCGGCGGAAGAATGAGGGGCTGGCTGACATGGACACAGTAGTAGGTTGCCGTCCGGAAGGGGATTGGAAACGACACGGTAATATTTGTATGCGGCTTCGCAACGGAGGATCGGAATGGCAAGTGGCCGTGCGTCTCAACTCAATCTTATCAAGATCTGGCCACGGAGCCGCAAGCAGGCTGTTGAGACAGCACACCAAACGATAATCTCGCCTTTAGACTCTACGCATCTCTGACCGCTTCCTCGACACGGGTAAAGTGGCCAAAAGTGGTGCCGTCACTGACTGGCAGGCGCCCATCGGAAGCCGAAGCGTTCCGCAGCCATTCCGCTGGGGCTGCTCAGAAACAACGGCGGGCCTCAGGTGAGACCCTGACTTTCCCGACCCTCGCCGCCTTTCCGTCATGGCTACCAAGAACCCCGCCAGCACTTCGGTACCTTTGTGGGGCACACTGCGGCCACAAACACGACGACCTCGTGCGAATCACGGCAGATGGAGGCATCGAATCTACAGAGCACCAGCGTCAAGCCGGCGGCAAGAAGATGCAACATGCACGCGACAGTCGCGCAAGGCTGGGCGATGGTAGAGACAATAAGCATGTGATAGCGGACTCCAGAGCGGGAAGCTTTCCCGTCCTGACCATAGATGCACAGTTCGATCTAAAGGAGAGTTTTGCGGTTGATTGCGCAAAGATGACGAGGCGTCTTGCCCAGTGCTCAAATGCTGTCAGCAGTCTTCCTGGGTGTTCCTGGTATCGTGTCATGGATGCTTCACACACCAAACCGTGGACTAAGCGAAGCTTGGGAGTGCATATATGCGCAGCCAGAGCAGGTGCAGGTGGGCAGTAGTAATTGAGGTAAAGAGGCGCCTATCCCGATGCGGATATCGAAGTCTTGTCATCACTGCGCGTTTAAGATGCTGCAACTCCCACGTCTACAATCTTGCATCTCCAGCCTTACTGCACGTGTGCCATAATGAGTCAGCGTACTGTTCTCATGTACGAACAGACATGTGCATATTGAACGATAGATAACAGATGACGAAGCATCGCGTACGGCATTTACCAAACCTCTTCCTCTGATTAAGGTCAGCTGAGCACTATCTAGGTATCTACGATAGAAGTGCACGTTATCGGGTACCTCTCAAGCACTCGGTATACTGACACAGAAGGAACCCCTCAGCTCTCATCACTATCGATAACTTGCCATGCCCAGCTCCCAGAAAGGCAGACCACGTGGGACTGAACAATCTCCAGGCTCGGATCGATCTCCAGAGCCGTGTTGATGCCGGGCGCCATGGATGATCGTTGGCTCGAATCAGGCTAGACGGCGGCTAGTCAGGCACAGGGCACGTCTACTTACCCATTTCATCCACCTCGAGACATCCATGACAGCCGTCGCGACCCTTTAACGGCGCCCTCTACGTCTTGAGCCTTGAAAGACGGGCTGCAGTATTCTCCGCGCGCCACGGAAGATGCTGCACGCGAAGCCTGCGGCATGTGTGAGTAGCCTTTCCCTAGCCCCAGCCAGGCCCGTCGTCATCCAGCTGTGAAACGCACTCCCCACGCGGCCTGGAGTTTGACAGTGCCGGCTCCTCAGGTGCCATGGCGACAAAGCCTTATCTTGACGTCGACGCCTCTCCGCGCTGCCTCAGAACTGTGCTGACCCCTGTGCCTTGCCCAATGCAGCTGCTTTCCCTCTCCTGCAAGCTCGACCAGCTGCTGGGAATGTGTCGCACCATATAGAGCACCCCTCGTCGGCCTCGCGTGAGCCCAGCCAGACCCGCGGGCGTGCGCTGACTGCCTCGTCACGAACCATTGCCTCGCGCTCCCAGACGCCCGCCGTTAAGGCTGCCAGCAGCAATTCGAGCCCCGACCGCACCCTGACGACGCTCGAGCGCAAACCCTCGGGCTCGTACGCCCACAACCGCAACACGTCCATCGTCCACGGCATCCAGCACTCGCGCAACACCAGCTTCGTCAACTCCCCCGCCACCAGCCCGCTGAGCCCCCAGATCATCGCCGCCGCCGCCGGGGCAACCCTCGATGGAGCCCTCATGTCGCAGGAATCAATAGCCGACGCCTTCGCCGCCAACGGCATGCAGCCTGGCGCAGGCACGGGGAACGTCTATGCCGGCGTGGGGCCCCAGGCGGCATCGAGCGATGGAAGCATTCCTCACCGCAAGCCTGAACGGGCGCCGAGTGCCAGATCCGCGCGAAAGGGCCACAACCACCATCGCTCCCAGTCGCGCCACCCGCCGCATCCCCACGAACTCAAGACGGTTGGCGAATATGCCCTGCACCACCTCTTCAACTCCTTCATCAGCCAGGCCGAGCAGAAGATCAACCAGTGCATGACGGAGAGAGGCCAGCCCGAGGCCCGGGTAGAGGGTGTCTGTGGACCTGGTGTAGACCCCACCTTCGACCAGCTCATCGCGGCCCTAGGCCATATTGCGCGCCATAAGCCAAAACCGCTCATAGACACCATCATGCTATGGCGCAAAGCCAAGAGTGAGGAGGCGTCCAAACAGCGCACTCACCTGCTTACAGCCCGACAAGCCAACCCAGGGCTACAACTCCATCCTGCGCTATCTCGACGTAATACTGAACCGGTCCAACAACTGGATAATCCATCCGCAGCCTCTGTGGCATCTGGCCCCGACCACATCGTCGCTCTGCAGCAGACTGTCACGCAAGCCGAACAGCGATCGACCGTCTCAACCTACATCCTTTGCCGCGTCCTGATCGAGATCATGACCCAAACCGACCTCCAGAACTTGACTTTTGAGATGGCCGACCGTCTCCTTGGTCTTTTCTACGGCCAGCTCAGCACGGTGGACCCTGACCTCGTGGACATTTCCCCCCTCAACCTCGCCAATTGGACCATCTACAGCCAACTGCTCGGTGTGCTAAGTGGCCTCATTTTTGAGCAAGTGCAAGATAAGTTCATCACCGACCTGAAGACCGTCGATGGTCACTTGGCTATCAAGAATCAGTACAACCGAGATCATGAGGCAAAAGGCGCCTTGCTCATTCGCGCTCTGAGGCACCTGCAAGTGAAATCTTATCCTGAAGACACTTGGGACCGGACATGTGATTTTATGCTCTCCATGGCCAAGCTTTTCACCAGTGCCCACGGACAGCCGGTCAAATATGCGTACTGCCAAGTCCTGAGGGAACTATTACTACGCATCACCTCCAAAGCGACCATTGAACTCAACGCACCTAGATGGAAGACCGTGATCGACATGATGAAGCAGCGCGCTGCCATACTGCTGGGCAAGCCGAAACACTGGCACGAAGCCTTCCCACTTATGGCAGCTATTCTATGTGCTTCTCCGACCGAAACCTTTCTCTCTCAATGGCTTGCGCTCGCCTTGTCTACTCAGCCACGACTCAAAGAGCGCGCGACCAGAGCCATCGCCCTTCGAGGCATCTGTCGGCTAGTGTGGACTTACATATACAGGCGGGGAACCGAAGCGCCAAACGTCGCCGTTCGCCGATTGGAAGAAATCATACGGATGGTGTTCCAGCCCGGAAGGCGATCGTACCTATCAACTGAGCCCGCCATCGCTGAACCCTTGATACAACTGACGCGCATTATTGGCTACAAGTACCAAGACCTTTGCTTCAAGACTATCATCTTTCCCCTGCTCAACTCCGAAATGTTTTTATCAGGCCGAGAATTGCGCGTTGAAAACCTAGAGCCTGACCGTATGGTCATTGGTATCCGTTCGTTTCTGGCCATCATGGCTGATCTCGAAAACACAGAGCAGCCGCCTTTCCCACTTACGTTCGACTACGATCCAAATGCGGTATCGAACGAGCTCCCTGCTCTTCCTTCTAGTCCGCGGCCTTTACAGCCTCTGCCCATAAAGTCAAGTCTTCTCAAGGAAGAGCGTCTGTCGCGTCCTGTGAACTTCTCTGGTTTCGCCGAAGTGGCCAAGGAGTACTATATTCGCTTCTGTAAGATCTTGGGAGAGATCACCATCATTTGCGACAACGCATTCGGAGGCCAGGCCGTACTCGACGAAAAATTCTCATCGCAAACACCAAAGACGCCCATGGCAGCAGCCTTCAGTTTCGCTCCTCGTGAAGACTACATGACCACTACGGATCCGCGACAAGGGTTCTATGACCTCTTGCATGTCGCGGTTCAGGCTTTACCCCGCTGTCTGTCTCCACATATACCATTCAATTCACTGGTAAATCTGCTGTGCACCGGGACAGCTCACGTACAGGGGAACATCGCTGTATCATCCGCTCAATCACTCAAGTCTATAGCCCGACAGTCACATGCACAGCAAGTCACGATTGGCTTTGCACGTTTCATTTTCAATTTCGACGACCGTTATGCTACCATGTCTGATGGTGGCATGCTTGGGGCTGGGCACATTGAGAACACCTTGAAACTCTACGTGGAGCTACTAGAGATATGGATTGAAGAGATCAAGCGCAAAACACGCAAAGCAGCATTGGATACGCCAGATGACGGTTCTGGTAATCGCGCGGCTCTTCTTGATCTGTCTTCAGTTTGGGCGCACGTTGACGAGGTTGAGTCCCACGGTCTCTTCTTCTTATGCTCGCCTTCACGTCGCGTTCGCTCATACGCTGTTACCGTGCTTCGCCTCATAACTGAATTCGACACGGCTCTGGGAGGCTCCAATACACGTGTCATCCGGGTAATGGAGGGCAGTCCCCAGAGAGTGCTCGACATCAGCGATGAAAAGTTGTCGTTGGCTGAGCGCAGTCGATTGCAACGCGGCATGCGCAAGAGCAATGTGCAGAGTACCCTTGTTGAGCTTTGTGGTAGCGACGTGCCGTACGACGCTACGTTATGGTTCAAGATCTTCCCAAATCTGGTTCGAATCAGCTTTGAGGTGTGTCCTTTCGCCGTGACTCTCACTCGTGACATAGTCTGCGCGAGACTTGCACAGATGTATCGCACTCTATCATCCCTAGCTGAGGGCCAGCGCTCTACGCCGTATTCGCCCTTCGAGCCCGGAAGTAGCAAGCTCAGCGGCCGCCTTGCTTCCACATCACCAGAAGTCGTCATCGAACAGTGGAAGTTGTACCTCATATTCGCCTTCACGACATTGACAAGTCTCGGCCCGACGGCCACATCAGCTACGCAAGGAAACCACTCGCGTAAGAGCTCAAAATCTTCACAGATAAGCACGAACAAGCAACATACTGCTACCGAGTTGTTTTCCAAAGTCCTTCCGTTCCTGTCAGTGGACAATGTCGCCATCCGAGATGCTGCGGTCATCGGCCTCGGTTCCGTCAACCTCAACCTTTACCGTACACTGCTCGAATCGCTTCAAGGGATCGTGGCCGCTTGCTCTGAGGAGGCAAAGATGCGCTTGGGCAATCACAACCGGACGATCAGCAGCCCCCGCCCAATCAACTATCGGACTGACCATCTTCGGACTGAGATTACACACGTGTACAAGCTGACCTCACAGCAATTTCTCAAACTCCCTGAGGCCCACAATGACGAATGGATAATCAACAACCTCATGAACTACACCAAGGATCTGAGAATATTCCTAAGTGATACGGAAGTTCAACTCGAAGCGCGCTATCAGAAGCTACGTACGCACTATTGTGGCCTGGTGGAGGTTCTGTTTGAGGGCATCAACAAAACCAGTGATCCTTTGCATTGGATGCCTTTCCAAGCCCGAAAAGCTGCATTTACATTGATGGAAGAGTGGTGCGGCTATGCGGCAAACCAGTCTCAGATCCGCCAGCGTGAAGAACAGATGCGCCGTTCCATGCTTGATCGAGAGGTAGACAAAAACAACAAAGGCAACGCTACTGCGGCTCTCGAGATCGAAAAACGCGATCTTCGAACCGCAGCTCTGAGTGCCATGGCGGCGTTGTGCGGTGGGCCTGTCAGTATCACCACTGACAGCAAAGTTCTTCTTCAATTCGATGTCATCCGCATGCTCTCGTGGATCCAGAGCATCTTCGAAACTCCGAGCGACCGGACACACGCGATTGGTCGCCGTGCACTCACCAACCTCATACTGCACAACCGCGAGCATCCATACTTGCTGGACAAGGCAATCGAGATGTGCTACCTCGCAGTTTCTGGCAAAGCTTTGGAAAGCTACTTCGAAGTTGTCACGCAAGTCCTCACACAACACGAGGATTACACGTTGCCATTCTGGAAAGTACTCAGCGCCGGCCTTTACACTCTTGGACATGAGAACAGCGAAATACGCACCAAGTCAACGCGATTGCTCCGAACACTTGAAGCTCGCGAGGGCAAGAATTCGAAGCTGCAAGATCTTGATATCAGCATTTCTGACAAGACTGTTGCTGTCTACAAGCTGGCACAATTTGAGACGTCACGGAGACTTGCCAAGCAGCATGCTGAACTCGCCTTCCTGGTCTTCTCGCAATTTTCCTACTACTTCAAAGATCTCAAGCCTGATCACAAGCGCAATATGGTCGCCGCTATGCTTCCATGGGTGCAATCCGTCGAACTCCAAGTAAACCCGGATGGAGGGCCGACTGCTAACTCTTACATGCTGCTTGTCAACCTCTTTGAAATCACTTACAGGTCCGGCAACGTACTGCACAATGAGATTCAGGCGCTCTGGCAAGCTCTAGCAACGGGGCCGTACGGTGGAAATGTTCAGTTAATCTTGAACTTCATCATCAATCTTTGCCTAGACAAGCGGGAACAAAACTACGTCGACTACTCTAAGCAGATCGTAGTCCATCTATCCAGTACCCCTGCAGGGCTGAAGGTGGTCGAGTTCTTGCTCCTACAGATCAACCCGCGGTCTATGGTAAGCGAAAAGCGCGAACCTATGCCACCACCACCAGACGCCGTCAATCTCCCATACTTGGCCGATCTCACCCAGGTCCTACCAAGTAGCAACAAACAGGTAAGCATAAAGTAGAACTTGGAATGAACTACGCTAATGTTCGTAGTCTGGCTTCGCTCTGGGACAGGTTTGCCTCATCCTGTTGGTTGACCTCATGGTATCTCCAGTTGAGGTGGCCAAGGAGCACATTCCTTTGCTTCTACAGGTGGTCTTGGTTCTTTGGGATCATTATACTTCTGTAGTTCAGGACCAGTCTCGCGAGATGCTTGTGCATTTGATTCACGAGCTAGTCATCTCCAAGATTGAGGACGATACGCCAGGCATCAACAAAAGATCGATCGAAGATTTCATTGAGGGCATTCGACAACATGATCCCAAAGTGGTATGGAGTTACGACGACAAGAATGGTAAAGACGTTACAGATTCAACGTTCAAGGTTCCCGAGCCGATGGAGTATGTTGCTGGCGAAGTCATGAGATTCTTTTCGTTCGCGTACCCTGGACTTAGGGAAGCTTGGGGGCGAGTCGCACTGAATTGGGCCACGTCCTGTCCGGTCCGACATATTGCGTGTCGATCATTCCAGCTCTTCCGCTGCATCCTAAGCTCGCTCGATCAGCAGATGCTATCCGACATGCTTGCAAGACTTTCCAACACCATATCAGACGAGGAGAGCGATATACAGACATTCTCTATGGAGATACTTACGACGTTGCGAACGATCATCGAAGCACTAGCACCGGATGACCTCATACAGTACCCTCAATTGTTCTGGACCACTTGCGCATGCTTGGATACCATACACGAAGGCGAGTTCATGGAGAGTCTGTTGATGCTAGACAAGTTCCTCGACAAGCTTGATCTGGGTGACGAAGAGGTGCTGGCGATCCTGGAAGAAAGTTGCCCAGATAAATGGGAAGGCAAATTCGAAGGCCTTGCTCAACTGACGTACAAGGGTATCCGGTCGAGTACGTGTTTGGACCGATCTTTGCGAATCCTGGAGAGATTGGTGGTCCTACCTCCCAGCCGCATCGTGGGCGACGATAGCCGGCTAATGTACACCATTCTCGCGAATCTGCCAAGATTCCTACGATCGTTCGACTCTACAGCAAAAGATTCTAGTGTTCGAGCCACCGCCGAAGTGCTTGCAAAGGTTGCTGATCAGCACTACCAGTGCACATCGCTTTCCGAAGCCTTGACAGCCTTCGCAATGAAGAGGTATCGTCAAGAGAAGGACTTCCTCGCACAGACAATGTCCGCTATCCGCTCAACATTCTTCCCAGAACATGAGTTCGGCAGCCTCGTGTTCCTGCTCGGTCTCTTGATGAACAACATCGATTGGATGAAGATCAACACAATGGAAGTGCTCTGCGTCCTATTACCCGAGATCGATATGCGCAAGCCGGAGATGGCCTCCAAAGGATCCGATCTTTTTTCGCCTCTTCTACGACTACTACAGAGTGCGTATTGCCCTCAAGCTCTGAGGGTTCTGGACTTCGTCATCAACCTCAACATGACTAGTACTCTTACGCCGTTCGACAAGCAGCATATTCGTATGAGTATGGCGGGTTCTCACTCCACCAGAGGGTACAAGAAACAGTTCGAGAAAACGCAGTCATTGTACGGTATCCCTGAAGAAAGCGGCTGGTCAATTCCGATCCCCGCTTTGCACTCGCAGTTGACGAGGGCCAACGTCCACGCGGTTTTCTACACCTGCGGAAATTTCGGGGAGATGAACGTGCCAGACACCGAAACACCCAAAGTAGAGTTCCGCCAGGAAGAATTCCCGTTCAGCCCCTTATCCGACTACCACCGAACAGCGACCATGACTTCAGAAGATACTCGGGGCGATAGTCACATCGGTGAACTGGTCATGAAACTAGACAGCTTGGACGACTTCTTTGAGGATGATGACGACGCCGAGACATTGACAGACCTACCAAACTTCTCGTCTTCAGGGCGCTATGCGAATGGATCGTTTGCTCACGATATGCGTGAGAATCTATACGATCAGCAAACGGCGCCTATCCTGCACAAATCTCTTACGCGGAACGCGTCCGTGACATCGTTTCAGTCGGGGTTCATCTCTGATGTCAAGCTCTCCCCGGCTAGGGACCCCGGTGTCATGACCCCGGGCGCTTTCAGCTCTTTTGCCAACTCTTCTTCGAGTACCTTACCCCCAACAAGCCACCCCCGCCCTGGTCTGCATTCCCGATCAGTAACGTCACCATCCGCTCCAAACCAACCACAGCGCATTTCACCTTCGCTCTCGTCCACCACTCTCGACGAACAAAACGAGCCGTTCTCCGACGACGAATACTCGGCTGGTCGTTCGAACAGCACAGACAAAGCCGGGACTTTTAGTCTGGAGAACATCATCAAACCCGTCGCTCACGATACGCGAAGTCGCTTTAGGAGTGGCATGCGGCGACTGACTGGCGGCGGCGGAGACAACAAAGAAGGTGCCAAGACAAGAGATGCGATCAAACTGGCATTACAAAAGAGTCCCCAGGTGCCAAAGGTACCTGACATCTACCTGGTGAATCCCAAGAGCGCGGATCTGTAGGATGGGCCAGAAGAAAGAAGTAAAGAGTACATAAGATAGGTACTCCAGGATACGAGTGCCAAGTATATACATGGGGTAATGTGTTTATTTGTACAAAGGAGAAGGACGAAATGGACCCGATACCACGGCGTAATACTGGGATGGATGGTGTTTTCGTACGAAGGAAAGGATGATTTATTGCATGTGTGTGGGAGGACGTCCAAAAGATACCAAACGCTCTTTTTCTTTTTAGCTGTTTTGCCAGCTCGCGAGATACCATAGTGCCTACAATACGATTAGAATGCTCATGTACTATTTCATATCCGCTCGTTCTTTAGTTCACAGCATCCTGCATGGCCAATCGTCGGGCATCCTAGTTGTATGCTTATAGCTGCCTCGTACCCCGGTGGTGGTGAAACATCGATGTCGAGTTCGCCGCTCTCGAGTCTATGCTCGATCGCTTCACATCTTCGATTATTACACTTTAGCCAGCCTGTTGTTGGAACGGGCAAGTTGTGGTCTCGATACCAGGGTCGTTCTACCGCTGTCATCCAGTGTATCGGCCCTCCATTGTTGATAAATTCCTCCCGCTTCTCTCGGTCTACATCATCGCCCACCTCACCTACGAATAGAGGCGCGATACTCTGCACTCCTGTGGGTGCATAACTCGGTACTACGGCTATGGTGGCGCTGAGTGAGGATAGGATTGTGGAAGTTATACGTGCGAATATGCTCTCTTCAGGCTCAGTAGACGGAGTCGACGTAATAGATGTGGGGAAGATGGGTGTGCACTGCCATTCTGGATGGTCGCGCACGACTTGGGTAAATGATGATGTAGTTAGCCAGCCGCGTTCCTGGTAGCACAGCGCGATGGAGGACTGCGTTGTGCGGATTACGACTGGGCCTGCTGGATGGTGGATGTAGGTGAGCATTGTTGTAGGGGTGGTGTGCGTGCGGGCATGAGGAGCGCGAGCTTTGGCAAGTGCTTGCAGCGGACATGATGTGTGGACTCTGTGAAGAGGGGGAGCGTATAACGAGCAATGTGAAGAGATCGGAGATCGTGGATCGTGGCAATCTACGAGATCGTGAAATGTGCCGAAACACTGCGCTGGACGTGTGTAGTAGCCATGGGGCGCGTGCGAATAAGCTTCTGCGCTTTAGACACGAATGTTGTTCGTGCCATTGCGTTGAGGTCGCCCCATATCCAGGTCGAACACAGAAACATGACAGCCCTATCGTGGCAGCCTCTTCCCTGATAAGATTGAAAATGTGATGCAGCGATTCAAGAGGCATGTCAAGGATGCCATGCGAGTCCGTGCGGTCGATGCTAATGATCTAACAGCCCTAAATCGCGTGGCATTCCAAATTCCACGCCGAACTTCTAGAAGCCGGTAACTTTCGCAATCCCAGGAACGATTGTAACTTTCGCAATCCCGAAAAAGATCGTTGTGTTACACGCACGCTGGAAGATGCATTAGTCGCGACATGAGGACGATCGTGGCTGACTGGTTGTCGCACCTCAATCCGGTAGACGCGGGGAAGGAGGCTGAGGAGCCATCTCCGGATTCGTCGCGCGAGAAGAATAGATAGCGCCATGGGTACCCTGCAGCCCTGTTAGAAGCTGAAAGTTTAGCGCACGCAGTAACGTCTAACACATGGCAGCTGGGCAGCTCCCATCTCCTATTCGCCTCTCAGACAAGCACGCCATTTCAGCACTGTCGCTATGTCAGACCGACATTTGGTTTAACGTGCTATCGTGCACGCTCAGCCAACCTCCAATTTGGGCTTCTATCGTGGCGCGCGCACCCAGCTGCGGCCGTTGCGTGTTCAGCTACTGTCGTGATGGCCGTTTGAGAGCCCAAAGATAGGTCTGCGCTGTGTGCTGAAACGCCTCACTTCACCGAGCGCTCTGACCATGACGCCTTGACATGCCGGCCGCACTGCGCTGCAGTGGTGTCGTGGGGATGTCAAACACGCTGTCTGTGTGAGAGTATGAAACAAAACAGATTTTTTTTGGCCTTTTCTAAAGTCTTCATCTTTTGTCCAGCTTTGTATAAAGACGGTCGTTCCGATACAGACATTGCAATCATCATCTCAAACTTGTCTTAAATATGTCGACCGTATCTCAAGGCGCAAAGGTTTACCTTATCCACACTACGCAACATAATCGCCCTTTTTTGACGACTGTACCTTTCATAGCCCGTGATTTCGCTGCATGGGGGCACCGTGTCGATCACCACCCCGCAGAGTCGGCATACATCACTGAGATTCGATCCCGCGAGGATGTGGAACATGCGAACCGCAAGGACCGCGGTGGAAGCCGGAGGACGAAGCTGATGGAAATATGGGCAACCGAAGCCGTCCGCAGAAAACGAAGACAACGAGGAGGACCCCGTGGCATTGAGATCGAAATGTCGATGGCGAATGGCGGCTTCGGACCGCAAGATGCCAGGGTGAAGAAGGCGGGTGATCTGGTACAGGATGTCATTGATGGCGTGGCTTCATTTGGTTAGTATGCACTATAAACCCCGATACGGTCATATGACACGCGAAGTAGTACTAACAAACTACAAGAAGCCAGATACACAGCAACACCAATTCGGCAGAACACATCACCAGGATCTCCCCCTACCATCGTCACAACATACACACGCCATCTCTTCGCCATTAGGTACACACCGAACGCACCTCTCCCATCATGGTCGAACCCCGACATCACGTACGCAGACCAAGTCGTCCTGGAGTTCCACGACTACGAAGAGATCCGAAGAGAAGATCTCGTCCACGCGATAAACAGCGCGATTGGCAAGAACGAAGGTAGAATGGGCAAAGTGGAAAGATGTCCAAGGACAGGCATGAAGCGAGTGATTCTATGGGTTGACGTCGCAGATGTCTTCTTCGGAGACGTAGTACAAGACGAACGCAATGTGGAAGACAGAGATCCTGTGCCGAAATACGAGAGGGGAGAAAGGCCGCCGGTGTATGCCGAAGAGAGATAGGCAGTCCAAACATATGATACCCAATGCATGCTTACCCATCTTCACACCAACCTGCTTCCAACCCTCTGACCTTATACCCCCCCGCTATCTAATCATACACCACCTCTCCCCGTCGTGGACCACCCCGTTGGCTTCTCGCTCCCTCCACCATCAGCCCTTGCATGTTCCTGACCCGCACCTCGGCCATGTACTCTTGTTGTTCTGCGGTCATATGTCTGAACTCATTAGGGTTTCTTCGGAATCCAAACGTCTTGTGTATGGCGTAGCCCATGCAGACGAGCAGGCCCGCGCCGAAGAGGATGAGGAGGATGATGGCGCCTTCGGGGATCGCGTAGCCGGCGTCGCGCTTCGTGAGGGGAGAGGCGGTTGCGGTGGTGAGGAGCGCGAAGAGGAGGATTGCGGTTGTGATTGGGGAGGCCATGGCTTGGATGGAGCTGGACGTAGTTGCTGGGGGTTTCGATGAGAGTGTGGATGCGGTGGATGGTGGGTAGCGTTTCGATCTCTGTCACTCTGGATGGGATATCGGACGTGTGACAACGGTGAAGGAACCAAACAGAGGTAGAAGAAACGACGGAGCGGGGATGTAGAGTGCCCCCAGATGGCTGTGTTTGTTTCCCTGAAGATGCTAACAAAAAATAGATGAAGTGCCGTCCAGTATGACCTCGGGATATCCCAAGATATGGCAGTGAGTAAGTGAGCGAGTGACTAAAAGTGAAAGTGAAAGTGAAAGAACAAAACCCTCACAGCAGGCAACAGCACTTAAACAAACAGCCGCGTAGCCCCGTTCCAAAACAATAGACTCCACCCAGACACTGCCTTGCCCTCATCCCTTCATCCTCTATTGCCGTTATCTTACATGCGCACAGGCCACACCTTCGTACATTACCTCTTCCGGGATAGCGCCCTTGCGCATCGGACGCTGGTTGGTCAACGGTGCTCAAGCGACCCACCTGACTTAGTCGTTTCCAAGGAGAAGATCCACTGTGCACGTGATTTTGCGAGCGGACCAATGAGAATGCGCGAGGCGTTTATGTGCGTGTCCTAAATTAGCGTCCACGCATGGCTTGTGGCGTTGCAGGACTTGTGTACCGCTAACAGTGACCGTGGAACATACGAGGATGCGGCTACGGCGAAGATTTCCCCTGAAATCCGTGGCGTTAACTGCACACGAACCAATAACATAACGATACAAGAGTAATGTTGATGCAACCCAATCTAGTCTATTGCAAAGAGTGTACTAAGCGAAGGCGCTAGAAACAGAAAGAAAAGGTAAGGCAAATGCAAGACACAAAGAAAAAGAGGGCCAGCCTAACCCCACCATCTCGTCAGCACCATCGGAAAATGCCACTAAGACCCCGCCTGGCAACCACCTACATCCAAAACATCGTATTATCCAGCGCCTTATTCCAAGGATTCTTCCTCTCCGCATCCGCCCCAGTCCATTTTCCCCAAACCTTCGCCGCCTCCTCCAACGCCCATTTCTTACACATCTTCACCACGTCATCCTTGTGCAGCAGCTCCATAATCTCTTCTCTCCTAGTCTTTGCCGGCCAGACTCCAGTAGACGATTTGGTCTGCTCCTTGATTGGCTTGTAGATCGACTGTCTGATCTTGCGTTGGCGGTCCTCCAGATCAGTCTTCTTCTTCTTGAGCTCTTCAGCTACATCCGTGTCGCCGTTGAGGAAAGAACGAAGGTAGATTCTGCCGCGTTCGCAGAGGCGGTCGGCGTAGTAGGCGGGTGGGGCGTAGGAGACGCCGCAGCTGGCGCGGACGTAGGTGTAGGAGAGTTGGTGGGTCTGCGTGTGGGTTAGCAACGATTTCTGTGAAGGTCTGTGGTGTGCAGTTGATGACTTACGAAGGTAGCTAGTTCTGCAACGTCCCAATCGACATCATCTTGGATGACGAAGTAGTGCGCTGGTTTCGTGGTTCCTTGTAGGCCGCTGTGGGACTGGAGGAAGAACTCCTTGAAGTACGGAGATGTGACTGATGTGTCGACGACGGTGCCAGGCTTGCAGTTTCCAC